ATTCTAGTCAGAGAAGATATCACCGTAACTGAGAGACAAAAAGCAGAGAATTAGATGGTGTGTTTATCTCAACAAAATGACATTGAATGTGTTACAGAGGAAACACTAATAGCCACAAAGTGCACAGCATTTTAGCGCACTACAATGAACTGCTTCAAAAATCAAAGAACACATTTGTTTACATAAATGCTTCAATGCAAACCCTCGCTATTGAAAAACATTTTCATCTTTCAGTGTCAGTCTTACTAAGCCTGTGTGGTCTAAATGAAAGAATTCCACTTTGTGTCCTTTTCTTGTTTTAAGTTTCCATTTATCATCCAACTGTGTCTGCTGCCTTTGAGGCAACAAGGCAAACAGTAGAGGACACCATATGAACTCAGCCTGCATGTCTTTGTTGCTCCAACATGAGACAAACTATTATCTTTATTATTTAACTCTGCCAGCTATGAAGTACTGTCTGAGTTTGCGTTTGTAGTTTGGAGGTCAGAAGCTATCGGAATTGTTAAAACCAGGCCTTCTGATAAACCCTCCTTCATGTTATTTGTGACAAATGTGTTTTTGTCAAACCATGCACAGTGGAGACAAGAGGAAAGGTTAAACAGTGGACGACCTACAATATTTGCTTTCAGATATAAATAAGAGGCTTATTTATCTATCCATCCAGGAGCAGGAGTTGAAACTAGTCTCAAGCCGTCGGTGGATGAGAGGCAGGGTCACTCATGCTCATCCACTTTAGTGTGTACCATAAGGCCAGAGCCTGAAATATATTTGTCTTTTAGATGAACGCATTATATCAAACACACCACTGAACTAAATCTCAAACAGCCAAAGATGATCTGATAAACCACAGACATGATGGACATGAAAAAGATCCATCCATGCACCCATCCATCCACCCAGCCACCCACCCACTGTCTGCACCCCCTGCAACCTTACTGGTGTCTATTTGGGCAATCATTGAACAAAAGGCAAGATACACCCTGGACAAGTCGCAAGTCCATCACAGGGCAACACAGAGACACACAGGACAAACAACCACATAATCTTGATCACAATTTGCTGTGGATGACTTTTATTATTTAGATTTGCACATTTATTATCCACTCCTTATTTAATAGTGTCTTGCCATAATCATTTAGTGTGCTAGCGATATGAAAACCAACATGTGAAATACAACCAGATGCTTGTTTTTTGTAAATATTGTACCAACTGTCAATGTAATCTTTTTCTTTCTCAGGCTTCAACTGTGTCTGACTCTCTCCCTTCCTTGTAATTTGCAATTTGAATGATAAAACACCTAAATCAAAACTAATGTAGATTTGTGATGGACATTCTGGGTTCTCCGAACTCTAACGGAAAATTCTATGTAAACATATATTTCACTTTTCAGCTGGTAAAAGCTTAGACATATCCTAAATGGGAGAGAAAAAAATGTGTTTGTCAGTAATGTGGGCCTCAGCTACATACAAGTGAACATGAACTGTGGAAAAGAGGAAGCCCTAAATTATTGTTGCCATAGTAACTTCCTGTTTTAATCAATGGCTGACTGCTGTTTTGAAAAATGAGTGCCTGCTCTTCGACTCAGGTCTATCTGAGGGTTTTAGCCGTTACAATTAGTAAAAAAAAAAATAGCATTCACGATGAAGTAGATGAAGAAAGTGGATACTTGTTCAGCAAAGGACAGTAGGAGGAATCCTTAGTGTTTGCTGAAGGTCAGAATTTTTACCAGTTTGGAGTCGACAGTTCCATCTGCTCACATACAGACGAAAGAAGATTTCACTACAGTCAGATTTTTGCACAACACATTCAGAAACTGAGCTAAATCTATGAAAACATTTTGTTGAATAGACAAATAAAACATTTTGCTTAATTTCTCTTCCAATTGTTATCAATATGAAACAGAGTAAATATTTTGAGAGTTGTTTAATTCATATGATGACCAACATCTGATTATTATTTAACCAGTGCTTTGGTACATGATCATTTCTTCTTTTTCTCCAGTAAATCATATACACTCTTATTCAAATTTGACTGAAATAAATTAAGATGAAGATGTAACAGACAGGTATTACTGAAAATGTAACATAACAGAGCATAATCAGAACTAACTTTAGACTGAAAGTAAAATAGTGTATGCCCACGATACATGACCACTAATCGCATAGAAATTTCCAATTAGACGTAGCAGTGAACAACACGGCTGGGTCTGAAATTTGTTGATTATTTACAGATAAATGATACCTTGATGGGGGAAAAAAAAATCAATTTCCCAGATGTCAGCAAAAAGCCAAGGCCTTGAGAAAAAAAATAAAATCACTGATCATTTTCAAATAATCTGAAGAAAAACTGCATTCAGAACATTCAGCCCATCTTTTCATAAGATACAAAGTCAAGCCTAAGTTGTCTTTCCCTTGAAATGCTAAGTGACCATCATTTCATTTTCCCTCCATGTCTGAAGAAAGAACTGAAATGTCCTTTTGGCCTTGCAAAATAAAACATCCATTCCACAGTTAATAAAGCTGTGCCGTTCGAGTGAAAATCATTAATCACGCACCATTTTCCAAAAGACCCAGTTAATGTTCTGAGAGAAGTGCTGCCTCTGACACAATGTAGCTCACATAATATATAATCAAAACATATCTGCAGTGACTTCATTCACTGGCAAGTTAAGCCTTATCCTATCACATGGAATCAGAAACTCAAGCATTATCTGCAGAGCTGTGAGACTCATGACATAAGAGGAGCGCCCTTCCCTACTGGTACACCGCCATACTACCTACTAGACATTTCAATATTGTACTAACAATATGCCCCACCGAGGCAGCAGAGATGTAAGGCAGTCGCAGCACAGACCCACACCACACTACCCCCTGTCCTCAGTCCTTGTGCATGTACATATGTTTCCAGAAATGTGAGTGGAATAGAGCTTTCAAATTGGCATGTAGTATACATCGGGACAAAGTGAGGGGGAGGCACAGTCGGTCTCTCCTATGCAAGCAAGATCCAATATCCCAAACTCGAGATCCAATTTTTTGTGTCATGTTGCATATCGCCGCCTTCCTAAAATAATGGCTTAAGTCATTTTTTTTTCTTTTTTTTTTTTTTTCAAAAACGGGTTGATGATTTTTTTATTCTTTTTTTTGTGTGTTTTTTTGTCAAAATCACTTTTGGAAAAACAAACGACTTAGGCCATTATTTTAGGAAGGTGATGATATGTCAGAGGGGAAGAAATGGCTTAGGTCATTATTTCAGGAAGGTGAAGATATTTTAGTGGGGAAGAAATGGGCACTAAGGCAGTAACATGAAGCCCCTGCTGGGGATCAGTTCCCCAAGTGGGCCTCTGCACATTTATATTAATAAGCAGATAAGAAGACTAACTGTTGTATAAAGTTTTTCCTAGACATCCCTTGATCTTTTGTTTTTTCTTTCATCATATTTTTACGAGTTTACACTTTAAAGCACCACAGATATTTTGATTCAGATTTAATTATTGGGCATCATTCTTTTTTTTTTGTCATCTTGAAAAAAGTGATGTAACTCCAGACTTTGACTGGAGGTGGAAAAGCTTCATTTTCTCTGGCTGAGAGTTGAGATCTGCCGCTGCACTTGTAGTGACAGCTCTCTCCTCTCTGCTGATCGATCGTTACCACTCCATTACCAACACACCTTTTGGAGTTGAGCTACTTACAATCTGGAAAGCATCATCAATGCTGACATTCAATTTACAAAGGTTGACAGCAGGCAGAGAGTGAATTAAACAGATGTTTCCCACTGTGTTGTTACTTTTACTTTCTCTTCTCTCGCTTTCTCTGTACGACTTGTCCCTGTTAGTCAGTTTCCGTCAGTTTGTTGTACGCCAACATACATTTACAATCAGCGAAAGTATACGTTTATATCAAATTATGGAAATTTGACTACCACCTTCTGTGAACCACCCAAGAACAAATGGTTCGCAGAAGGTGGTGGAGTTTGCCTTGGACAGTAGAACATTCATCATTTATGATTTTATGCTTTACTCATTCATCTGCTTCACAGGCTGTGTAGTGAGCTCATAGATGAAGCATAAATCAAAATCACCTTTTATATGCCTTTTATAGAGGGTCTTTAATAAAGGTAAGTTACGACTTCAGCTGCTCATTTATACAAACACAAATGAGAAACCTTGTCTTTTGTTTTACCAAATGAAAACTTTTGAGATGGAAGTTTTTTTTTTTTTTTTTTTATCTGAATCTTCACAGAGGCTCTGATGTCTTTTACCCTTCTTCTTCCATTTCTATTTATTGTTGGCTTTGCCTTTATACGCCGGGGTCTTGTCAATACATATCCTGTCCGGTGATAATTCCATACTTTCTCAGACAAATTAGACATACAAACACACATGCAGATATTCCAAAGGTCCGATATGTGATGATGTTCTAATCAAGATAATCTGTGTTATAAATTAGTAAGCAGTATTAATGATGTGTTACACATCGGAACTTAGCAAGCCATATTGAAGCTAATTAGTGTTGGACATAATAAACATTAGGGTAATTGTTTTGTGTTGGGTAGGTGAGCGTTGTGCTATCAAACAATGACCCAATAGCTTTCTAAATATGTGCAAGATGGCAGATTTGAGCTATACTCTAAAAAAGTCACTTCAAGGAAATTACCAATATTACTGACCCAATGCAGCATATTCCACTTCAAATGATTTTATCCCCCAATATGACACAATCAAATATTTATGTGTACTAGATGGTATGTGTATACAAAAATTTTTTATCTCTGCAATGTACTTTGATGAACACTAAGAAAAAAACAGACTTTGAGTTTAATGTTCCACAGAGAAGAGCCTGACCTTTTGCACATTTTGAAACCTTTAACACCTCCAAATGATTAAACACTGTTCTGTTTTATATTACTGATATCATTATTACTATTATTATTATTATTATTATTATTATTATTGACTAATAATATCATGAGGCCAGTGTAAAGGGCCTAAAGAATCACAGGCAAGTTGGGAGCCACAGTTTGCAGACTCTCAATTGCAATCACTCTCAGCATATTACAGATAATGTCAGGAATTTTGGGTTGCTGTGTTGATTGGTGGATTTTCTCAGTTGCGGAGCTCCATGTTTCCACTAGCTGGCCTGGCTAGAGGACGCAGTGGAGATCTAGAAGCCGCCGTTTCTTGTTCGGCGGACGAAGCTCAGCAGCAATAATCTTTGTGGTAGCTTCCGTGGTGTCTCACTATCTCAGCTCTCTATAGATATCCTCGTAAAAGGTGCACTTCTTTACCAATAAAAGCTCTGGATCTCTTTCCCTTCCAGCAATCTTTGTGCACCTTCCTCATCATCATCCTCCTTCGAGCCAACTTGTCTGCTCTCCGACGCTCACTCTGTTCCACCTGCTGAAGCCCTCAGCGTCAGCTCCTCATTTCCAGCTCCTGCACTCTCCTTATCATCCAGCTCCAAGTCTCCATCAAACCTCTGGCTAAAACCACCACACACACCAACAAGCCTGGGTTCCACTCACTCCTCCCTGGTGTGCTTCACCCTTCAGTAAGCTCCTTCCTTTTATCCCCTCCACTTATTCACATTCACTCTTCCGTTTTGCTCAGGAGGGCCGACAGTGGCTCTGTCGCTCTGTCCTTGGGCGAGACACTTCACCCACCTTGCCTGCTGGTGTTAGTCAGAGGACCCTGCGGAGCCGGTGTATGGCAGCCTCACTGCTGTAAAATCTTCCCCAGGGGAAATGCAGCTACAATGTTGCTTACCACCATCAGCATCAGTGTGCATGTGAATGACTGAATGTGGTTTAAAGCGCTTTGGGGTCCTCTGGACTAGATAAAGCGCTATGCTAGTACAGGCCATTTACCTATCGCCTTATCCACACAGTGTCTCTGCTCCCAGGTCTCCAGCAACCCCACTGGAGCAGCAACAAGTCATTAATCAAATAATTGTAAAATAAACCTTTTAAGGCTTACTTTGCCTCCTGAGAGTATTTGTACATGTGGGTCAGATAATTACCTACAACCATGACAGGTAGTGATTATCTTTTCCCTAATAGATTGAATCACTTCTCAACAAAAGCAACATGTCAGTGCAGCAGAGCAGTCAGAATATTTCATTAGTGCTTTGAGGTTGAGTGATTAAGGAGAAGATAAAGAGTGCTAACAAGATTTCGGAGACTGAGTAATGATATTATCTTTGCTCTCTAAAATAAACAAATCACTAACTAACACTGCAGAAATAATTGGACCTGAGGAATTGGACAACCCCTGCAGAAAAAAAGCCCTCCATGTTCTTATGACGAGCTGTGAGATATCACAAGCTGCTGTCAGAGTGGGGACTGGCAGCAAAGCATTAAAAACCAAGACAAGTCACTTGACATTTTACCAGCAACATTAAAGGTAACCATTTGAGGTCAATTTCACTAAATATCAAAAAGCAACTTGAAAATGCGTTAATCTGAGATCAGTAATAGAGGGAAAAATTCAACATAGAGCTAATAATATGACAAAACTCTCATTTCACTGAGCAATCAGCTCAACCTGTTTCCTTAAGTCATGCTGCTCAACTGATCAATCATAGCATTGCCTCTGTCTGCATTCCATTAGCAAACATCGACATTTCCTTTTAGAGCCAATGCACTTACAGTCTGGAGAGCATCATTACTTACTGGTGACATTTAATTACAAAAGTAGCCAGGAAGGTAAACAGAAAAAAAAAAATAAAAATACACACATCATTCCACAGTGACTGACTCTTTTCCCTACATTTTCTCTTGTCTGTTAAGGAGTGGTGTCAACTACTGAACATCCTCTAATGTATCCTTTCAATACAAACTGGTGGAAAGTCCAAATAAAAAAACTACAGTACTCCATTATATATTTTTTTGAGTTTAGTCTTTTTTTTAATTTTTTTGTCCCACAAAATGTTTCAGAACATCAAACAAATTGTTGTTAGCCTATTATAAAAACAACAAACATTGCCAACTCACTTATCTGTGTTTAATCACTTTTTGAAAAGCTGTCCTAAACTTCACTTATCTGATCAAGCCTCTGCATGGTCAATCTGTACAATCAAATCACTTAAAGGGGCAGGTAAAATAAACTTTCTTGAGCCTTACGTCATATTATAATGTTATTTACTAATTAAAATATTAATGCATGGAAGGAATTTGATTCTTCTATGCATGTCTGAGGAACCCTTGAATTCCATGCTCTTACAAATCCCCGCCTCTTTCTACAAAGCTCTGGTGTGAAACTTCAGTTCCCAGACTAGTGGCAGCAGCAACTATTGAGCACCTGGTGAAACTACGAGCCTCCTAAGAACGGTTGCAATTGGCATCGGTGAATGGCATGAAGCACTGTTGTGATGAAGTGGTGAAGGAAGAGTGTCAGTCAGGGTAACAGGTTGAGGTAGAGCTATGTTTATAAGTAAATTTAGGTTAAGTGACTCATGCAGCATTTTCATATCAATGAAAGGTAACACAGTTATTTAATTGCGCATTTAAATAGCACAGTGTGCCTGAAAGATACAAAATGACCCCTCTCCCCCACCACCACCACCATGTAAATTAACTAGGTGAATGTAGCGACAAGGTGAGGAAACAGAATTGTTTTACAAAAAGTTGTTAGTTCTGAAACACATTATCATTGTTGCTCTATTTTTTCATGATTCTTTTTTTTCCTTCTTAACTTTTCTCTACATCTATTTTTTTTCCATCTTTATCTTTTCCTCTCTCCTCAAATCCACATCTCTCAACGTCATCTCTTATCTGGTCAAACTATGTCTCCACTATTTTCGCCCTGTTTATTCAGGAAGTCCATTTAGTCTATGTCTGCAAAGCACTTGCTCAAATCCATTGCAACAATGTCCTCATCTTTTATGCATGTCTTTTTCCATTTATTCATTTCTTTCAGGTCTTTTGACTTATTGTCTGTCTGATAAGGAAAATAGACTCAGCTCCCATGAGAAGGTGAAAGATAGATGGCGAAATGTGATCAGTATCTGCTAAGAGAGACAACCTGTATTTCTAGGCTCTTGACTCGGAGGCTGAATATACTTGACTGTATTACGCTGGGCTCATGGGACACTATTGTTCCACCGATCTCCTTCTGTTGTAACAACATTTATGTAGAGATTGCACAAGAAATGTGTTGTATTGTTCCTCTTTTTTAAGAGGAAGTTTGATAGAATATAATTTCTATACCTATGTGAGAAATTTAGGAGTTATTTTAGATTATATTGGTGAGTAAAACTTTGCAGAGCTGGATTTCATTTTCAGTATTTTACTCCAGCTGATGGTAAAGTGACATGTATTACTGTCTATAATGGCTCCCTTGTCTATGTGGATTTCAGTTTTATAGACTGTTCAATGCTGAGAAAATATGAAGCAAGTATGCATACACACTATTACCGCTACCAAGGTTCTCTGTAGCCGTTACTGCAGCTTGTTGAGGGGTGAATGGAGCTCATATCTCACTGTCTGTAAGACAACATGTAAAGTCGTAAACTAGTGACTGACTGAATGCAGTGAGGAGAAGGGGCGCAATTTCATAAAATACTTTAACGTTACAGGTATACGATGTACTTTTGAAACCTGGAAGCATAGGATGACAAAAAAAAATAAAATCTGCAATGTAAATAGGTCTGAAAAATAATAATGAACATGTATAAATATGGACATAGTCTAATTCTCAAAGCAAGTTTCATTTATATTCTGCTGAATCCAGACTCCATGTGCTGTGTGTCTTAGTGTATTACCATATAAATAACTTCCGTTGCTTATCTTGATTTGTTAGGAAACCAGAACGGAAAGACACTGAACAAGATGACATAAAATGACATTTTTGCTGACTTTGTGATTGCTATTGTTATTTATGAGTCTTATCTAGCTCACTACTTCTGTTAACGATGCTTAAATACATTTATTTACAGCTCTACCTCACCTGTTTTTATGTTGCAAGGTTCCACAGAAAAAAACAAAAAAGACACAGTTTGGTAAAATAAATAAGAAAAATCGCCACCTGTCATCATCAAGAACAGAGATATTTTGTTTATTTTGTCTTAATTGTTAACTGTCCACTTCCATATTAAAATCAATTAATCTTTTAATCATTTATGACAAGTCAAATCAATAAAACTGTGAAATCAAAACCTTGTAATTTGCCCACACTTTTGCAGTGGTTAAAGAACAAATTACAAAGAAATTCAAATGAAAACCTGAAGACAAAATGAGAAAGCACCGACACGCTGCCTCAAAAAACAGTAGCCTGATCACCCAGTATGTCCACCCGTGTAAACCACACAGGTCATACAAGTTCTGTGCCACCGACAGTGAACATTACAGCATGTAAAGAAGACATTTTGGAAACAAACATAACTAGACAACAAAAGAATGTTGCAATTTATCTGCTGCCAGAAGGCAGCTGTAGATCCTCAGACCTACAGAGTCCAATTGTACAAGACCATCTGACAAAGTGCTCAGACCACTGCAACAGCAAGCCAAGGCCACTCTCACAGCTGCTACCACAATTATCACCGCGAATTACAACCTCCTCAAGAAATTTCACAGTTGACTGCAGAAAATAATTTTCAGGGATGGCTACAATATATCTGGCCCATCACACCGGACTGCTCAACATTTTAATCACTACAGCAACAAGAAGAGACACAAATGCATTTTTTTCATACTGTCTGATATGAAATTTGAATATTTTTTCCGGTTTTAGGTCAGTTAGGATTACCTTTTTTTTTTCTATTTGCTAAATGACAGCATAATGAGAGAAGTACAGTATATTTTAAAGACAGTTTTTATTAAATTTTTGTATTGCTATATAAAGAAGTTTGTACACTTCAGGTGTCAACTCCAACAACAGAAAGTCGTCTACTAGTTGGTGTATACTAAAGTATAGTAGACACTATCACTGACAAAAACACTTACTTTTGAGGAATGGAATATGCATTTTTAGCAAGTGACACTTCTATAGGTGGATTTGGCAGTTTGTAGTAATTAAAAGAAATGCACTACATTGGTAGTGATGTGAGAAATGGACCAAAATTAAAACAAAAATGTAAAACCAAATTCCTCAGTCAACAGAACGTCTTCACAGTTCTGATGACAGTTTTCTTTTTTCAGATCAACTGATTGTAACCCTGCTGCTTCAAAAAGTAAAATATTTTTGAAGCAGGAAACTTGCTTCAAAAACTGTCCTGAAAATGGGATTATTTCTCATGTCTTTGTTTTTGTGTTTATAATTTGTCATGATTTTTATTTGCTCAAAGCACATTAGTGTGGCTTCAATAGTTCGTCCAAAATGATGCTTTGGTGGAATTTTACAATAATTAAAACAATTTGTGTGTGTGGGTTTAGATCTCACACATGCTTAGTGAAGCTCTGGAGCTGTTTTGCTTTCTTTGATACTGGAAACCTGCTGCTTATTGAAAGTGAGGACGATTAAACTGAGTCCCAGCAAAATTCTTGGTGAAAACCCAACTGGGTCTTTTGGACCTTCAAGCAGGACATCTCACTAATTTTGGATGAATAATATTGTAATGTTTAATTTTCAGATTTTTTGGTGAAATTACTTGTGAGTTTGTTTGTAATAAAATTTTGAAATTGTTTTTGTTCTATTTGTGTCCTACAAACTACTGTTATATTAGTTGTTTTGCTGCAGGGTCTATAAGATTTTAGGTAGAGGTGTGCCGATCGATCGGTCA